CCCGCCCCCCCCCGCAACCCCATTGCCTCGCCCGCGTGTCGATAACCGCTTCCGCGCCCCTGAGTGGCGCGCAGAGCCGCACCCCGCCCTCTCCCTGTCACACGGAGATGGTCGCAGCTCCCGGGAACATGGTTTAAACGTGCGTTCCCTGGGCGCTGATTGGCCCGTGCGAAGGGCAGGCGCGCGCCCCCCCCGCCGCCTCACAGCGGGGCCGGGGGGGAGCCCGAGTCCTAGCGGGAATTGTAAAACTCCGCTCTGCGAAATGCTCAGACGGCTTTATGCAACGTCTAGCTTAAATCTCCCTGGCTGAAATGTAACTCTCTCCTCAAAGCTTGCCTGGAGAAGAGATCATACTCCTATGTTGTGACTGGGCACTGAGCCCCTTCTCGCGTAATCCCCACTTGTGTAGCAGAGGCAGCTAAAACACCACAGAACCACAGGGCCACCACCAGAAAAGCTCAAACAGCCATCAGCATCGGTGCCCTGTTGGAAGCCCATGCCAGGTCTAGCACATCTGCTTCAAAATCGGGAAGGTACAATTGCAAAGATGAAAGCAGCTATGAAGCAAGAGAGCGGGCAGACCATGGGATGTTGAATGTTTCTTCTTTGTTAGTGGATGTTGTCATGGGGGTGACACCTTGGAATTACCACACGGGACCTCTTTGGTGCTCCACATTAAGCAGAACAATTATATTGAGCAACAACGTATGCCTAGCCTTTCTTCTTATCTGTGTTAGCCCTTCTAAGACCTATCTAACAGCAGCCACCTGTGCGTGCTCAGGATATGGGTCTGACGCATGTGATCTGACCCAAAACGCCATCGCCGCTTCCCACTGAAGGCTTATCTGCAGCCGCGGGCCCCTGCCTGTCTCTCGGGTGTTCCTACAGCGACACAACCAGCCAGTTCAGGACGGCAATACAACTGACAACTATCCCTTTCCTTAAGAAGAACAACAGAAACAACCCCACTGTCAACTCCAGCAAGAAATGCCCAGAAGGGACGGGCTCATCGTCCCCGCGCTGTCCCTCGGCAGCTGGGGAGCAGACAGCACACGCGTGCGGCGTGACTGCAGGGGAGATACCGGGAGGCAGTACGGTGTTTCAGCCTACCCTCTCCTCATTTTGCGATAGCTCTCTGCATGAACAAGCACTTTGAGAAAAGGCAAAAGAAGTCCAGCTCTGCATTGTCACCATAATTTCTTATGTCTGCGTCTTCACTAACACAGCACGCATATGCATTTTGCAGAAAGGCAACCAAAACGCACCAGGTGTTTTCCTGTAAACTCCAGCAGACACAAGGCTGCAGCCTGCTGACATCAGCTGGGCGTCATGTCAATGACGTCCTCTATCCAGGCAGGTACACCAAGCTCTCCAGAAGAGCACCAGAGCCCTTGGCAGGCAGCAGTCTGATTTTTCCACCCCAATTCCCACTGTTCTTTTCATATAGCTAGGGTGTGACTGGAAAAAAATCTTCATAAATTACTAATGATGATTTCCTTCTTGCAGTAATTGAGGAACACTGTTCCTAATGTCCTAGGAAAGCTCTGGAAACGCCTTTACTGTGGTTCTGCTCAGCTTTGGGGGGTTGGATGTTTTTAATATTCATTTTACATATGTATATTAAACAAAGCAACTGAGTTTGCGTTGAAGCTGTGGGGGCCGCCACTAGAGGGCAAAGCAAGCTGAGGAATTATCTTCCCTAGAGCAACAAAGAAAACAATGTCATCTCTAACCGGCCCCTGCCACCAGCAGGGTGGGATCACGGGATTAATTAACAGAACATGCTGGCTTGCCCCCCCTTAGCTTCCCTGAGGGAGTTATGGCCAAAAAGCCAGTACCACGGGGAAGGTAAAATGCTATCACTGCAAAGCTACAGCCCAAAAGAGGACACGTCTGCAACTGGACATCACTGTGACTCAGGATGCACAGCACATGGGAAAGCACTGGCCGACTCCTGTGTTCCCAAGGGAGCAGCACAACTCCCACTAGCGCCAGCTGTAAAACCCAGTGACCTAAATATTATCTCCTGTAGTGCTGTAAGGGCAGCTCCCAACAGCACCATGTCCTAATGCGGAAATGTGAAATTGTTTGGCAGGGGGAGGGAAGAAAAATTAATGAGCAAGGTGTTGAATTTGCTCAGAAAAGAAAGAAAATCTTCAGAGTAAATACCTTCAGTCTAAACTAACACTTCACCCAGTTTAAAAAAAATGTTATTTTCTAGGACTGGTTACCCTTGAATTCAAAAGTTCGATTTCTTTCAAATATACCAACAAGACATGCTTGTTAAATATTTCCACCCAGGAGCAAGTTCTCCCTGTGGTTCTGACTGACAACAGCATCTGTCATTTTTGCAATTAAATAAATATCACAACATTTACACAAATTTCTTATTCACAAGATGAAATCCTGACAATGTGTGTTTGTACCACTATACCTCTCCATTAGAGAGTAAAAACGATGCCCTAAGGGTAACTGTTTGGTGTTACATTAAGCAACATTGGTTTATAAAGTCATGTAGTAAAGTGCCAGTAGGTGCTAACTACATTTCACAGATTATAAAACATAATTACATTCAGAATAGTATCTACCAATGTTAAAAAAAGAGCATCTCTGACATAAAAGTGCATTCAGTGAGATCCTTACATTACCTGCATAATCCGAGGGAAACAGCATCCCGCAGGTCATTCTGCATATGCTAATTCACACCCGTAGGAAACATCATTGCCATCAGTGGGATTACTCACCTCTCCCAGGCGAGGACGATCGTAACTTCTGCTCGCAGGCCTGGTGGATAACTGACTTTTCAACTCAGGACATCAAAACCGGCACTTTCTTGTCCTGATTGCAGGGAGCTGCTAGGATGCCTTTAATGCACGTGAGCTGTACTTCATTGTACCTTTATTTGAAGCGCGTAGAGGGCAATAATCAAGATATTAGCTGCCATTTAAATTGTTCTTCTCATCTCTGGCCAGACTTCTGTCATCTTTTTTCTCCATTTAGCATCTGAAGCATCACCGATTAATCTGAATTACTTAAGTCAGTTTAATTAACATTGCTTTGCCTTTACATAGCTTAGCCTAAATCTGTCTAATCCTTTATTGGTTATTTTAATCCTTGTTAGTTTGTCTAATGATAAAATAAGTAAACTTGTATGAAGTTGAATGAGCAGTACTGAACATTTTAAGCAGATTTCATGACTGCCCACACTTTATTTATATCTGCTTCAATTTTATGGTAAAGTTCTTAAAAATTTTCCTAGTCTTACACAACTGGGAAAACGTCCTAATGGAAGACTGTCTCTTTTTGCAAAAATCTGTCAGAGGGCTTCAAGTGGTGAAAAGATCTCTCCAAATTTAAAACTAGCCTAAGCAGTCATCAGGTTTTCAAGCATAGTTAGCTCCTTGCAGCAGAAAATGTCGCATTAGCAGCTTGTAGAGTATATTTGCAAGGGAAAACTCATGTGCCAGCACATCCCCACAGGTGTGGCTTTCCCAGCCTGGTCAGCAGGAGCAGCCCTCTGCACAGCACTGCTCCGTCACCCCTCATTCTCCTGTGGGAGTCCAGGAAGCTCCTGAGGGAAACACTAGAGTCGTGGGACTATGAGGACACGGGCCCGGGGGGGACTGTACTTGTCCCCAAGACGGGGTGGCGCCCACCCCGTCAGAGTACTCGGAGCCCTACAAAGCTGCCTCAGCGTGCTTGCACAGGGAGGAGCCCAGGCCCGGCTCCAGAGGAACACCAGAGCCAACCGCGGGGGATGGAACCGAGGGGCCGCCTGAAGGGAGACGCGTTCACGAGCGGGAGTGCGGGCGGGGGGAGGCTGAGCCAACGCCATTTCTCCTCAGGCCGGCAGCCC